ATCATTAGGATGTTACCAACATAAATTAAGCACTCGATGAATATGTTTATAAATTTGAAAAGAATTTTCAAAATTTGAAGAAATATTGTGGAATCGATGAATTGATTGAATCTTTTCAATCAGAGATCAAATAATTAGAAAATTCAAATAAAAGCTAAATAGAAACTAAGGATGCATTAATTAAGAATTTCGAATAAAAATTATTTTTATTAAATTTAAACAAGACATATTTTTAAAGGATTAGAAGTATTATTATTTATATTAATAAATGTTTGGATAACATATTATTGATACTAAATTGCAGGATGAAAGATTAAGCAAATACTTTAATTTGCATAGATAACAATAATTTCGACAATAGCAGAAGTCAAAAGCAAATGCTCAAACGCCCCTAGTAGCTAAAGTACTAAATGAATTTTATTACATGATTTTCCAACTATAGATAAAATGAATTAATATTGAGGGATATTGATGAACATAATTAAACAATATGCATAGCAATTTGTAAATTTTCATAAAGTTTAAGGATATCAATTTATTCGAATCTCAATTAATGAAATTATATCTATTGACAATCCTTATATCTCTATCCTGTATAAGTGTCATAATAAATTTCTTCAACCACTGTAATTTTGAATGAAATCCCACTGCCACCTAGTATTTCGTTACAAAGAGTTATCCCTGTTCTCATTCCGAATGAATAGGTTCCAATAGTGTTTATTTGTTACTTCATTTACCAATCTTACAGTTCCTTGATTACACTTAAAGACTACCCTAAAGTATATATCCTTCAATAAAGGACATGTGAATGTATTAAGAATGCTTATTTTCTAGGTCTAATATAATTATCATTTTATCCCTCTTTTTGAACCAAAGCATAATCACTTTGCTAAAGGATATATCCCTACCTATTGTTAAAATAATATTTTGACTGAAATATATTAACAATGTAGATTAATATCAAGATATTCTTAAAGATTGCAATAATTATGAGCATCCTACTCCACTACTCCATCATTTGACATTATAAATTATATTATGGTTGTTCCTAAATGATGTAAAGTAAATTAATAGTTTAAATTTTTTTTTTGTAAGAATTGTCAATGGTGGAGAAATTTCAAAAGGAGTTTAATTTAAAAATAACATATTTCTTCTCCAAATTAAAATGTGATTGATCGACTTTAATTAAAATCGCAATATCCTTATTTGTACTAATATGGCAAGGCTATATTAAAATAAGGATTAATCCATAAAGTTAATTACATGTACAAAAATGTGTAATGTATCAATTGGGTGTTACAACTAATAGCATTATAGTAAAGAATATAAATATAATCTGAATTTGATTTATTATCTTCTTGATAACTCACAACCTCAAATTTTAAGAGGAGAAAATTACTCTATACACTAATATTTAAATGAAAAGCAGTAAGTCACTTAAGTTTGAAATTTATCATAATATAATTAATGATTGGTATAATCAGAAATAATTTAAAAACTGTGATATAGTTTATCTTATAACCTTTAACTTTATTGGCAGATTCATATTTTTACAAAATAAAGAAATATTTACTTATATTCTCATTCTTACAATAGGTTCAAATTTATCCTGCTTATAAAATTAAGATTAAGTGATAAAGATAACAATAATTATAATTTATTTTGATGCGAGAATTAGAAAAGACCTTTTCCATTTATTTTTCAAAATAAAATTTCATCCTATTTTAACAATTAGTTAAGGGATGCTATTTATAGAATTTTTTTTTTAAGTTATTCTTAAACACTTATAAATACATTCTAATTGAATTTACACTTTAATTTACATTCTTATTAATATTGAGTATTTTAAGTCTTAATTTTATATTGAATCATGCTTTTTCTTATTGTTATTTTATAATTTTTGGCTATATGCTTTAATTCTTCTTTTATTTCAAATTGAAATTCCAATCTCCAAGGTCAGCAATCGAAATAACTGAGAGAGTTTGCTCCAAACTCTATCATACCAAGTTTCCATTGAGGTCTTTAGTGAAAAAAGCCTTCCAGATTGCTTCTTTTCGAAGTTAACTAAACTATTTGATAACACTATTATTTTGGAAGATCATTTTTTATTTCAAACTAAATTGCTATTTTTCTTTAAGAAATGATCACTCAATTAATTGAAAATTATTGTTAGTATCTAAAATCTAAATATTATTGAACTTCAGATTGTTTCATTAATTGAAGTCTAATTAGATTCTTTACTCTTAATATCAATTAATCAAAACTCTTTCTTTACTTTTTCTTATTAACTATAGCAGCTAGTACAATACTAGTAAGTACAACATTTTTTTATTAGGAAGAATTTAGGCTAGGAGAAAATATTCAGGAGTTTTAGTGCTTTTATGAAAATAGTTGTGGCTGATTGACTATTTCAAATTTTTCATTAACATTTATTTAGAAAATAAGCAATATAACATCTAATTGTTAATTTGTAAATATAAATATTTTAAGGGTTTTCCATCTAAATATGAGGTCAAGCCTTAAATTACAATCAAATATTTTAAAATGTTATAGGAATTTTATTAGGAATCGCTAATTAAAATTAAGAAAGAACATATTTTCTAATTTGTATCCTTCAAACCAAGTTTTCCAAATAAATTATATATTGAAATTTGGATAAAAAANCTATATTAAAATAAGGATTAATCCATAAAGTTAATTACATGTACAAAAATGTGTAATGTATCAATTGGGTGTTACAACTAATAGCATTATAGTAAAGAATATAAATATAATCTGAATTTGATTTATTATCTTCTTGATAACTCACAACCTCAAATTTTAAGAGGAGAAAATTACTCTATACACTAATATTTAAATGAAAAGCAGTAAGTCACTTAAGTTTGAAATTTATCATAATATAATTAATGATTGGTATAATCAGAAATAATTTAAAAACTGTGATATAGTTTATCTTATAACCTTTAACTTTATTGGCAGATTCATATTTTTACAAAATAAAGAAATATTTACTTATATTCTCATTCTTACAATAGGTTCAAATTTATCCTGCTTATAAAATTAAGATTAAGTGATAAAGATAACAATAATTATAATTTATTTTGATGCGAGAATTAGAAAAGACCTTTTCCATTTATTTTTCAAAATAAAATTTCATCCTATTTTAACAATTAGTTAAGGGATGCTATTTATAGAATTTTTTTTTTAAGTTATTCTTAAACACTTATAAATACATTCTAATTGAATTTACACTTTAATTTACATTCTTATTAATATTGAGTATTTTAAGTCTTAATTTTATATTGAATCATGCTTTTTCTTATTGTTATTTTATAATTTTTGGCTATATGCTTTAATTCTTCTTTTATTTCAAATTGAAATTCCAATCTCCAAGGTCAGCAATCGAAATAACTGAGAGAGTTTGCTCCAAACTCTATCATACCAAGTTTCCATTGAGGTCTTTAGTGAAAAAAGCCTTCCAGATTGCTTCTTTTCGAAGTTAACTAAACTATTTGATAACACTATTATTTTGGAAGATCATTTTTTATTTCAAACTAAATTGCTATTTTTCTTTAAGAAATGATCACTCAATTAATTGAAAATTATTGTTAGTATCTAAAATCTAAATATTATTGAACTTCAGATTGTTTCATTAATTGAAGTCTAATTAGATTCTTTACTCTTAATATCAATTAATCAAAACTCTTTCTTTACTTTTTCTTATTAACTATAGCAGCTAGTACAATACTAGTAAGTACAACATTTTTTTATTAGGAAGAATTTAGGCTAGGAGAAAATATTCAGGAGTTTTAGTGCTTTTATGAAAATAGTTGTGGCTGATTGACTATTTCAAATTTTTCATTAACATTTATTTAGAAAATAAGCAATATAACATCTAATTGTTAATTTGTAAATATAAATATTTTAAGGGTTTTCCATCTAAATATGAGGTCAAGCCTTAAATTACAATCAAATATTTTAAAATGTTATAGGAATTTTATTAGGAATCGCTAATTAAAATTAAGAAAGAACATATTTTCTAATTTGTATCCTTCAAACCAAGTTTTCCAAATAAATTATATATTGAAATTTGGATAAAAAAAATGTATTAAACTTTTTCTCCAAATAAAGTTTTTTTCCACAAAATCAAGATCTTAATCTATGCCTTCTTTTTCCATATCATATTATTTGCTAGTAATATTGATATTTTGCAATATGAACGAAATTCCATCTAACCAAAAATAAATTATATATTAATAGAATTCAATTTTTGATTATAAAAGAAGACTAATTTTATTATTAAAAATAAAAATAAATGAATATTATATCATAAATACAACCATAAAAGCCTGAGATTGAAGAGATGGTTTGTCAAATTCATAAAAGAGAGATAGTAGCTGTAGATCTAGATTTAAAAGAAAAAGGTAATTTTTAATACTTGTGTTGCATTTGCTTAGTTGAAAAAATGAATAATAGCAAGATATCTACAATTGAATAGACGAAAGAGAGAATATAATCCCTAAAGACATAAAGATAAGAAAATAAGCCTAAATAGATCCAAGTAAGGTTGGATCACTTCAAGATTATACTAGATTAAATAATGGAGTTTAAATGTAGTTTTGATAATGGATTAGAAAAAATATATAGTCAAATAAAAGCTCAGATATTTACAATATAAAAAGAAAAATAATGTCTATTAGACAATTTTTAAATATAAGATAAATTTTAAGAGGATGTTAAATCGCTGTCTGAATTTCTTTCAACTGAGAATTAAGAAAACTAATTAGAATTTTAATAGGATAGTTAATTTATTGACGAAATAGCTAAGCAATTTGACCTTTTATTGAATGGCTCAGCATATTTCTAAACAATTGACACTTTTAAGGAAGCTAAATAGAAAATTAATGCAATTAATGAAAATAACTAGATCGAATTAAAATCTCTTCAAAATTAGAATAATTAAGTAAAATTTATTAAACATATAAGAAAACACCTAGTTTAAACAAACTTTGCCCTACACATAATAAGGAGATCATTATGATTGACATCGATAGTGAAAATAAAAAAATAGAGGATAGGTTTGTCTGCGTTGATTGCATTAGTGATCATCCGAATTGCTAATATAGAACTATTGAAAAAATTAATTAACAATGGAATCACGCAAAGAAACAGTAGGACAGGATATTTTCTGAATTAAAGATTAAAAGGTAAGAGAAATAGAAAAAAATGAATTAATAGATTGCTGTGATGAGAAAAAATTATAATTAATAACTGAATGAAATTAGCGAAAAAATAATCACAGAATTTTCTTTACCAATAAGCAAAACTGTTGAGTTTAATAAATTTAAATAAATCTCTCTATAACAAGTAAGTAATGATGAATTACTTTCAAATATCAATTAAATGATTCTAAATGACAAAGAAAATTTGATTCAGGATTCTTAAATTGATTATTTAAAATCTAAAGATGCTTTGTTTTAAAAAGAAATTGAAAGTAGATTAGAACATTTAAAATAACATGATTAATTAGATATTTAAGTGTCTATTAATATTATGCAGGATTTATAAAGTATTCAAAAAAGATTTATTTTTTTTTTAGATGACAATCAAATCCAAGGGATTGTTTAATTATAATAAGAGATTCAGGAGAGTTCCAAAGCAAATTAAGGGTTATTAATTTTCAAGCAAGATTTAGATGAGCTTGTAAATTCTTCAAAATATATTTATTCTTAAAAGAGTGTATTGAATGAATCTATACAGAAATTGTAAGAGCACCTTACTAAAATACAAACGTTTTGTTCTAAAATACAATAAACCTCAGATAATTTGCCTCTCACTAATTTATAAAAGTATACTAATGATTATAAGAATAAGATTGAGAATGATTTTAAATAGGTTATGAAATTATGTGAAATAGAGAAACTAGAGAACAATTTCTAAACTTTACAAAAAGACTATGAAAAATTATAACTAGAGAGTATCAATAGTTTTCAATTTATTAGGAAACCAATATTTGGAGTCCATCGAGAACGACTATAAATTGAAGATATTAATGTAGAATAGCAATATTGAGGAGCTTGAAGTACTTGTAAAAAATAATGAATCTAAACTTAAAATGAAAGAAGAAGAAGAGCAATAGTTAAGCCAAAAGCTGAATGAGCAAATAACTAATAATGCTAATTTGCAATTAACATTAAATAATTTACAAGCCATGCATGAGAATGAAATTCAATCACTAAATGACAAAATAGCTTAATCAAATGACAATATCAATAAAATTCAAAATTAGTTAGATTTAAGAATTAAGGATATAAAACCAACATTGCTCAAGGATGATTTTTGGATTCAAACTTTTTATGATTTATAAGAAAAATCAAAGAAAATGATAAAAAGTTCAACTTTAATATTTTAAGGTACAAAAAATGGATTAAATGGATAATCTTTTTGGAAAGAAGTCAATAATAAAGACAATCTACTCATGATTTTTCAATCAAAAAGTGATTATATCTTTGGAGCTTATTCTCCTTGTAAATGGGTATCTAATCTAAATAATTTTGTACAAGATGATACACTATCATCCTTTATATTTTCATAAACACATAATTAAGTTTACCCTTTGAAGTAAGATAGGAAGTAATATGCAATTTATTGTTATTCTGGATATGGACCGACATTTGGAGGTGGACATGACTTTTACATAGATGTTAATTTTAGTGATGGTTATTGTAAGTTAGGTCATTCATATCAATTTGATTAATATAAAAATTTAAGTGAAGATCCTCATTTATATGGATAAAATAAACCAGAAATAAAGGAATGTGAAATTTATTAAATATAATTTATTTGATAGAGATTGTTAATTTATTATTAAATATTAATGGTAATAATGTTTGTAGAATGAAAATTAATCAATTCAAATTCAATTTTGTTGTACTGTATTTACTGATTAAAAATAGTCTATTAATAAAGTATTAGAAATTAGAATCATAAAATCCACCATTATGTTCAATCTAACAATTGTAAGTCATTATATTTTCTTATGACTAAATTTACACAATTATTATTAGTAACACTCAAAATTTATGTAATCTAAATATGATAATTAATTCAAATAGGAAAAATTAAAATTAATAAAATCAAACTTATTGTTCTAACCTTTCCTACTATTTTACATCCTTATGTCTAGATGGTTGATGATCATACTGGAAAAAATCAAAATGGTAAATAATTGAAACAATCATTAAATTGAACTCGAAGGCTTTTTTATTGTAACTGAATTAATTCATGCAGGAATTGATTCTTGATTTATCATTTGATGACCTAAAACAGTAATTATTAAGAGAAATGGAATACAAAAATGTAAAATAAAAAACTCATTTACATTCAACAGAAGAATGAGTAACCCATAAGGAAATCTGATTAAGAATTAATTGGATAGTTTGGTGATATAAGAAATTAAGCTTTGTACCATTTTAGTTTTTTTTCATGAGATGTAAAGCAATAAAAAAAGAGAGTATATTTAATATATTTAAAATAGGTGTATATTTTAATTAAGTTAGTATTTACAAATTTGCTTTGTATAAATAACATCGATTCTCTATAATTGAATTTATTTAACAAATAAAACTTGTGGTTTGTTGAATCAAAATATTATGGACTTTTATTTGTTTTAAATAAATAATATTAATAATATACATTTTAGATTGCCTTATTTTAGTTATTTATGAATTGCTAATGCATAGAAAATAGCGATTGAAATATAAAAAAATGAAAATTGTCATATAAATTAAGTAATGAAAGAAAAACAATCTAATACAAAAATTATTTAAAATAGATCACTTAGATAGGTGGTGTAGTGAGTTAAAGCTAAATACACTTAACTTCTTTGAATGAAAATTAGTAATATCACTTGAATAAATTAGAAATGATGAATTTAAAAATTAAGTTATAATTTATTAAGAATATAATAAATACCATCCCCTCTATGTTGCTTATCTTCAATCAGGAGACGTTTATTGAATCTATTTCAGATATGACCGAACAATTTGAAACATTCCTACTAGACAGCTCTGGAAAACTAAATTAAATTTTTACCAATTATAAGTTAAAAAGAAAAAAATATATGATAACTTAAAGGTTGATGGATTATAAAAACTCATAACTTTAGAAAGAGAATGATTTTTATTTAGGGAAATTGAATCAATTTTAAAACTAAAGTATAAAAAACTACCATTCTAATTGGAAATTAAGTTTCAAAATAATAAAAACTAATAAAGTAATTTAAATTACTATAGGCGCTGATTTGTTGTATCTTTTTAGATTTTAAATTATATAACCTTATAGAGCCAATATTGTGAATCTTAATATCTAAAGTATATTGTATTGCTCTGTTAAATAGAAAACCAGGACTTATAAATATTCACCAAATTACATTAATGATAAAAGATAAGAAGATCAATCAAATTTTGTAATCCTAACCAAAAGAAAAATGCGGAATACCATCTCTTGTTTACAAATGATACAAACCTTTATTAATTCTTGGTATCTTAAATTTTAATATCATTCGTTTTTAAGAAAATAATTCATCTAAGAAATGGGTTAGGATAGATTTATTTTCATCTTCGAAATTCTTTATAAAATATTAAATACAATGATTAATTCTGTAAGTGAGGAAGAAATAGGAATAAATATTATGCTATTTAAGAGATTATTTCTGGAAATGTGAGAAAAAATCGAAAATAGAATTAGAAAGTTTTCTTATGCTTTATGCCAACCTCATCATCAAATAAATATTCTTGGTATTGTTATGAGTTTTTAAGGATAAAAAATATCAAAAAAGTTTAGGGTTTGATTCTCGCTAGATGAATTGTCATTCCAATTGTAGAACTCTATTTAAAGGATCAACAAAAGTCATGAGTTATTAATTGTATTATTATTATTTGCAAAAAAAAACTCTAAATAAATAACTAGGTGACTAATCTTAAACATTATATATATTTTTTGATAACAAAAAATTTCTTAATTTTATCAAATACGAATTATAAAATAATAATATGCAAAACATTTCAACATTAGTTTTATTGACGAAATAGTTTTCGCTCAAATTTCGAATTCTAGAGGACTAGTGATAGCTATTGAATAAAATAATTGCCATTTGAACTTCAGCTTATTTTTTAATTTCTTTTGAAAAAAAAAAGTAATTTTAATCGATAGTATAAGGAATTGTATTCAAATCAAAGAAGTTTAATTTAAAAGCAAGAATTTTCTTATAATTTGACTTAGACTCTCTAAAATAATAATATTCTATCTATCAAAATTTGTATTGGGTTAAATTCCTTTAATTTCTTAGCTGAGATTTGGAGAATATTTTAGTTGAACACATGAGATCACCAAATAGAGGGGATAAACTATAAAAATGCATAGCATTGCTGTGCACAAGAAAGGAAGGTGTCAATTTTATATTCCTTTATCATAACATGAGATAAGTTAAAGAATTGGCTAATAATGATTAATACATTAGAAAGTCGCACTATATAAATAATATATATCTATCCAAGAATAATGGTAACAATTCAAATTACAATTCTACTTGAATCATCAGACTTTAATACTGTAATATATGATGTCAATTTCCTGTATGAAACAAAATGAGTATTTTAATATCGTTAGAATAATCAATTAGGTTTAAAGGATTAGCAATACTTTACATCTGAAGAGTATATAGAAATAGGAAAATGAAGGATGAAAATTTATTTTAGAAATCTATTAATTAAGACAATTTGTTTTCCAAAATGAAATTGATTATTAAAAAACTAAGCCACAATATTAAAGTTAGTCAATCTTTTTAAGTAAGAATTAGAATTTTAAACAAATCTATGTTAATAGATTGCCCTTAGAAGGGTAGATTAAACTTATCGTCAGAGATGGAATTTACATATTAATTATAGTAATTTAGCCTTTTTGAGGGCAAAAAATTTTATAAATTACCTGTTACTTTTCTTAGATGAATTAAAATCTCATTTAATTTCCTAAACTTTTCTTTCTGATTCTAATTAGGAATATACTAATGAAGAGAGCTATTTCCTAAAGAAAATTGGCGAATAAATATATTGAAATAATTGTGTTCAGGTGATATTTTATGTATAAATAATAAGTTTCAAAATCTCATTATGGCAATATTTTAAATATATTAAAGTACCTACAATATTTACTTACAAAAATACTTCTATTTTAAATAAATTATAAGGGATGCTAACATTGCTTGCAGAATTTATTTAAATAGTTTTAATAAGTTCAAACCATTTCAGAAGTAAAACCATAAATCTATAGATAATCTTTTTATCTTAGTTGAAAAGCATAAATTCTCCTCACCAATATATATTTGATGTTTTGTTAATCTAATTTTGTATTTTATGCTATTTATTTATTAGCAAATTTAAGTCTCCAAAATTATTGTTTTAAAAATTACCAGCTAAAGTTCGATATTTTTCAACTTAGTAGGTAGAGTTTAAATGCACTTCCACTCTGAAATTAATATTTCTTATTTAAGATGCATCGTATATTTAAAAGAGGAAGAAGAAAGTTAATATCAACAAATAAAAGTCAAGTAAGGATCCCTCAGTGGAGAAGAAGAGTTACTTTGGTGTTTTTCGACAGATAAAGAAATATCAAGAAGAACGTGTTGCCAAATCACACATCATAGAAGACAGGATAGTATCAGATTAAAAATCAGCATAAAGTCAGTAATAATTAGGTGGGATAATAATGAAATAATATAGTCATTAAGAAAAAAAAGTGAAGTGTAAACTGAAATAAAGGATATAGAAAATTTGGAACAACTTCTTATGCCTCTATAAATAGTATTGAAAGGTAAGAATTAAGATATCAATCAGATACCGAAAGAAGTATTCAACAGAGGACAAAAGCAAAAGTAACAGCTTTTGGATGCCGAAATTACCTAAAGTTATTCTTAAATTCAAACTGGAGATATATTGAAGAACCATATAACTACAAAGAATCGATTATGAGCTAAAGAGGATCTAATATTTACCAAGATTAAAAAAGAAGTGATAAAGAATTTGCAATTCTAACTACTTTAAGAGGATGACTTGGATTAATTAAATAGCTAGATTGGAGGTCTTCCCTCTAAGTGTGACTTCATATAAATATAATCAAATATCCACACATTTTATGATGAATATGGCAATCCAACCATTGTATTGATAAGTATAATTGGGGATTCAGGCTTGGTATAAAGATATTATAATAATTTTGAGGAATATAATAAATGGTGGAAAAGTCTGGTGAACTAGCTATGAAATCACAAAGGAATGGCTAGATTAACCCTAGATGAAAGAATGTGCTACTCCCAATCTAAGCTTATCTTCAAATAAGAAGAAATATTAAAAACTCCCCATCGAGAGTGAACCTCAAGATATCAAGGATCATTCACAATGATATATCATTCTACATTTAAAATATAAATATTCTAAATTATTGAAAAAAGCAAGTTAAAATAAGACCAGAATGCAAATTTCAATATTTATAATTAATCCAAAACATGAACTCTCTTTATTGAAAATGAGTATTAGATTACTAT